TWRGRAAAAAAAAMCMAAAAAACACAAGTAATACGAAAAGTCTCACAAGATATTCCGGCTTTAAAATTCTAGTATCCTTTTTGGTTGTCTTTCTTTGATTTCTTGTTCTTTAAGACGGAGCAGCAACATGAACTTCATCATGCAATCAATACGCAGCCAATAAAAATTCATCCTTCAACGTCGTTGGGCCTGATGGAACGTTCCTTCGGGTGCTGGGTTGGATTTGTTTGCTCATGTTAGAGAAAAAGCACTGTTTTGAACATGCAGAGTTCACGGATGAAGCAAATGTGCAAGAAGGTGACAGAGAACGGACTTACACCAGCAGTGTGGATGAGTGAGTTGTGACCTTGACAATAACCTTGTGATTGACATGTTTGTTTTTGCTTCCTCACCCACCAAAGCAGAAGCAAAATACCCCAATAATATATGAGGGGACTTCCACCAGGAGGGAGTACTTTGGAATGAGTGGCCAGTTACATGGATTAATTAGAATGCTTTATTTTTCTTGCTATCACAGAGGTAGAAAGAGGCAGCCTTTGAAGTCAGAGAGAATTTGAATTTGCATCTATTCTCTGCCAACAGCCCTGGGTTGTCTTATCTTTGAAATGAGACTAATCACTCCTAGTTTATAAGATTCTCAGCCTATATGAAACAAAATATGAAATGCGCTTCTCTTCCTTAGTGGTACATATTAAAAAAAATAAAACTCAATCACTGTTAATTCTCTCTCCTAAGACCAGACGTTCGCCACTGTGGTGTTATGACATAATCAAGTTTTTCAATGGTGTTCAACCATGGTTTGTTACCAATAATAAAATTCAGAAGTGGGCAATCGATTCACTTCTTAAGTATAATTAGCATATATTCAAGACTGTCCCTTAATAATACAACTCTTACTTGCTTCTTTATAGGATTTTTGAAAGGATGATAAAAATGCAAGACTCTCTCGGCTAATTATCTGGGAAGTTCTACTGGTCTCTAGCCTTTGTCTTTATCCACAAGGGTTTCTAAAATGACCGTGCCACACATCTGCCGTTAAAAAACAAAATAATAATAATAAAAAAAATCTCTGAAAGCTCTTTACAAGGCCATCACCTTAAAAAGAGCACTGTTACCAGTTCTGTCTCCATCAAGGTGATTAAAGTGGATTGCAAATGCCTACAATGGAATTGTTATATCTACTACCTTAAAAAGCCAAAGGCCAGGTGTGGGGGCACATGCCTATAATCCCAGTGGCTCAGGAGGCTGAGGTAGGAGAATAATGAGTTCAAAGCCAGCCTCAACAAAAGCGAGGCTGCTAAGCAACTCATTGAGACCCTTCTTCGAAATAAAATACAAAATAGGGCTGGAATRTGGCTCAGTGGTCGAGTGCCCTGAGTTCAATTCCTCATACCCCTACCCCGCAAAAAGCCAAAGCCCTTCCTGTGGATTATATGAAACACATGTCATGAAGCCTGTACCAGGTTTATACTGGTAAACTAAACAAACAAGTACTTCTTCTAGTTTAAAAAAAAAAAAAAAAGTTTTGCAGGCAATTTCCAAGGACGAAATCATTTCCTATTAATCAAATGACAAAGCGACATTAAACTAGCCTCCACAGTTCTAATGGTCTCCCTGTAATCAATTTTTCTGTAGATGGCATTTATATTCAACTGTAGTTCACACTGTGAACTCAATTCAAAAACAACTTCTTATGTTACACTTCTGAGTAACAGCATGGGGCTGACATTTGGGCAAGAGAGAAAGAACATAAGTGCAAGAGAGAATAAAAGCTTAATGCTTCCTTTATGTCTAAATATGGATTGATTGCATATTTACAGCAAGAAAGAATCCAGCACCGAGCGCTAGTCAGTCAACGTCAGGGGCCAAACGGAGACAAAATTTGTAAACACTTTCTGCTCCCGTTTCTCAGTGCGTCTTTCTACGCGAGCAGGGCTTTGTTTGTTTTGTTGTTGTTGTTGTTTTTTTTTTTTTATTTTCCTTTTCCTCTTAGAATTTATGTAAATATTTTCCTTCCTTTGGTTGAAAATCTAAATGCCTTGTAAGTGATGTCTGGAGGGATCACAGTATATTTGGAGATCTTCTGAGCTGCCTTTTGCAAATGTATCCTATCACTAAGCCACAGTCCTTCCAGCTGAATGGCTGAGGTTTATTAAAGACAACACACCACTCTCATCATGGTCATCCACAGCAACAATAGTAGCACACTGAAGCAACTTTGTATTATGCAGTTGTTTTTTTTTTTTTTTTNAGAGAGAGAGAGAGAGAGAGAGAGAGAGAGAGAGAGAGAGAGAGAACTTCACTCACCAGGAACAAAATATAATCCCCAAAGGAACACTCTCAGTGACCTACCTCCTACAGTGAGGATACCCCACCTGCTTAAAGGTACCACTGTTCATCCATCCGTGGATTCATCCACTGATTAGGTTACAGCTCTCATCACCATTTTGCTCCTGAAATTTGCTGTATATTCTCACATGGAAGGTTTTGGGGGGGGGTACCTTATATCCAAACCATAACAGAGGGGGATATTATAACCAGAACAGTGGAAACAGGATGACGAGATTTCATGCTTACAGCGTATCAGTCTAACGGATGACGTGGAAACACCTTTCCAAACCTTCCTGTCCTCATATCTAAGAATGACAATATGAAACTCCTTGATTTGCTGCAGAATTAAGTGAGATGCAGTTTGAAGAAATTAACGCAGGCTCAGAGTCACAAGCTCGGAGTTCCATATTYCATAACTGTGGCAGGCAGAAAAATAGTCTCCTAGAAAGGTCCACCTCCTGATCCTCAGATCCTGGGGCTGTGTAACTCTACGTGGAAAAGAAGAGCCTGCCTGTGGGATTAGGTTAAGGATCTTGGTGTGGGCAAAACATCCTGGATTGTTCTGGTGGATTTGATGGGATCCTAAGGTTCTGAAGAAAGAGAGTCGGAGTTCAAAGAGCTGTACTCACAGTAGCAGAGGGTCAGAGGGCAGAGAGAGAGAGAGGAAGCTCCCCAGGACTGCTAGCACTCAAAGTGGAAAATGGGAAGCAGGGATTCTCCAGAAGCCAGGAAATCCCAAGGAACAATTCTCCGGATTCTCCAAAGGCGGGGCCTTCCTTACCAACACGGAGATTTCTACCCAGGGAAACTGTTCTTCACCTCGGAACTCTAAAAGCATATGACGATCCATTTCTATTTGTTTTAAAATACTGTCTGTGGCAACCTGTGACAGTATCACTAGGAAGTGTTACCATTCTGTCCTCACGATGTCTGACATGCAGGATGTCAAAACACCACGATGGAAGGTGGGCTGGTGTTCAGATGCAGCAGGATAGAGATTTGTGTCACCTCCTTGCTCTCAAGGGCTTGTTGGCTATTATGTTAATGGCACTGAAGCCTACAGGCTGGTGGTGAAAGCCAAATTTTTAAGAAATACTGAAAGTAGATTTTTTTTTTTCACGAAATAAATTGGGACCTGCCAAGGATTTTGTATTTGATTCAATTCAGAAAGAACACACAGAGGCCTTCACTTAAATCTTTCTGATTCTCATTTCAATTTTTCCCTTAGCCGATACACACGACCACTCCATTCTGGGGTGATGTCATTCCTGATTCATGAAACCAATCCCAAAAGATCTATATCTCCAACATTTTTATGAAGTGATGATGTGCTATTAGATCAAACCACCAGTTGTTTTCTTGGCATTTGATCCAAATTTCCATCAAATCCATCCAAGTTGCTCGGCCAAATAAACTTGATGTTAAAAAGAAAATTTTCTTCTTTGGAAGACATAGATTAGCCCAAACTAATGCACATTTATGTTAGGCTGCATGGGCAATCAAATAGCAAATGCAGGTCACAGAAGAAAAGTTCTGATTGAGGTTTTGTATCTATCTTTTGTATGTCATATATCATGACATATCTCAGAAATGCGTACGTATTTATATATCCAGACACACACAGCAATCTCATTCTGAAATACAYGCTTCGTTCACTCTTCAGGTCTCAACCACCTTAAGCTGATCAACGGGATGATGCCTATAATAAATCGACCKCAGTCCGGGCTCCATGACTGCACTGAATTGTCTGTGTGAGCTTTTCACGATACAAATCTGTGTTTTTTAAAATAAACAACAACAACAAAAAAAACCAAAACCCCCCAAACAAAAAAACAAATACTATTCCTACATGTTCCTAGTCACCTTTGATTTTGCTTGAAATAGAAACTGAATTCCACCCAGAATTTTTTTTTTGTGTGTGTGTGACGTTGGTGCCACTCCATCAGCTAGAACTGAATGTCCAGGCAATCTGAAAACCACGGATTGATTGGAGATTTCCATTCCTAGCTGCAGAATAGCTGAATTCTGGATGACTTCAGAACAAACACGGAAACTTATCCTAATACAGGTGTCTGTCAATGACGACATCGCTTTAGTGCAGGGAGAGCAAGACAGGGGGCAGAACAGAGCTACATCTCTAGCTGATCCACTTGTGGGCATCAGTCAGAGGTCAGCTGCTCTCAAGCTGAGTAGATTAGAGCATCACAGGAAAAAAAAAAAAACTATAAGAATTTGGAGAAAGACAACATGGATCAAAGAACAGTCCTAGAGATGAGCTTTGAGAAATAAATAGGATTCAGATAAGAGGTGTGGCACTCTAGACATGGAATGGCAAGGATACTACCAAGTGGGTTTAACTTAACCTCTTGTTTGGATCAGAAGGTTCATGTTAAAAGGAAAACGACCCTTAACAATGGATGTGCCTCTTAAATCTTAAGTGTGAACTTAGAGTCCACACTTTCTACTCCCTAGAAATGACTGACCCCTGAGAGTTCTGTTTGTCTCCCTCTTGACGGTTCCTAAGCACTTGGTATTTCCGATGGTCCTCTCATTGTTAGCGCCTTGTTTGTACTTCACTGATAATTTAGGAAGGTGGTGAGGACAGAAGAATTTCCCATGAACAGATAAGAAAATTACAGCAGAAAAAAAATGGAATGCCTTGTCACTTCCTGTCATATGATGCGCGTCAGTGCTGTACCCAGAATTGGTACAGGTCCCTGAATTGGTACAGCTCTGGTACTGACTGGGCCATCACTGGGTCATTTATTTAACCAAGGGTCTGTTAACTAAGATGATTTTCAGGTTCCTTTTGACCATAGTGAGTGTAAGCATAAGGGGAAAAAACCCTTAATATCACCTGATTTTCAAACTCTTCTCAACCGTCTTCCCCAATACGCAAGAGAAGTGACAACACAGCACTCATGGGCAAGTGAGAGTTTGGCATTTTGTTGGTAGCATTGGATTTATGTCTTAGTCTTTCTCAAAATTCAACAACTACAGAAGTCCTCCCCTCATCCACCGTTTTACTTTTCATAGTTTCAGTTAATCCATGCTCAATGATAGACTGAAAATATTAAATGGGATGTTAAAAAAACTAAATATAAAATTTAAATTGCAAGCTGTTGTATTGTGACGAGATCTCCCGCTGTCCCACTCCATCCAGCCCAGGACATGAGTCATCCTTTTGTCCAGTGTATCCAAGCTGTATAGACTACTCACCCGTTAGTCATTTGGTAGCCATCTCAGTTATCAGATCAATAGTCAAAAATACAGGTGATGTATGTCCATCTACTGTGTACATATAAAATCACAAAATATTCACATTATAGCTATGATTTACTCCTATGTGATCAGACCATTCCCAATTTTTCACTGTGCTCCACATTGTAGAATATGTGTTCCTTACTGAACTCAGGCAGAGGGCAAGGGCAACCGTAACCAGTGATCACTTCTGATTTAGTAGCCCCAACTATGTGACAGATGCCAGAGCGTTTACAAAAGGGAGATGGGTGAGAGGAAGCAGAAGAGTTCATCTTTAGATTTCCAAGGGCATCCAAGTAAAGTATAGTGACAAACATCCTCGGAGGAAAGATTGAGGTATCCGACAGGGTACACCGTGAGACTCAAATGATCAATAAAACAAAGCAAAAAATAAGGAAAAAAAATATTTACTCATCATTTACTAACGTGCTAAGCACTTGTTGATAAGTTTCCCTTTCAACCTTGGACAACGCTCTGGGAGGCCATCAATGCTAATTTTTCTCCATTTAACAGGTGCTACTGAGACTCAGAGAGAGAGAGTAACCACTCAGCATTTCTGGGATGGGAGGTTTTGAACTCATTTGGGGAAATGCAGACTGAAGTCACCACTCTTCCACATAACCCCCTTCTGTCTTTAAATACTGACAGCTCTCCATCCATCCTCGGGAATTCCATAATAATCCCAAGAGTTTCTCTGGGTGGTCCCCAGAAGGTTTCAACAGTTATTGACATTAAAGATACAAATGCGGTCACCCCAGGAACCCAGCCCTAAGGTCCATTCACTTACTACTCAGGAAATGCACCCAGGGTAGGAAAGGGCTTCCACTCACAGACCAGTCTCATTTTCCCAAGGGGCGGGGATGGATACTTACGGGACTTTTTGGTGGTGACGTTGACCGGGGGGCTTGAGGGACCTGTCCCTGCCGTGTTGTAAGCTCTCACCGAAGCAAAGTAGATGGTGTTGGCTTTCAGTCCCGTGATGTTTTTGGTGGTGACATTTCCACTGACCCGGGTCCGACCGACCATGGATTCCTTGGAGTCGTCCGTCCAGTATAAGATCTGGTTATTCAAAGAAAAGAATAAGCCAGTCACGGCTTTCCAACAACCATCGACGGCAGGTATTTGGAGAGAGACAGTGTCAGAGACAAAAATKATTCCCAATTACAGAGGAATGTGGCAAAACCACCAAATTACTGAAGTCTAATACATAAATAAAAAAAATAAAAGGTGAAATAAAAGRTCTATAGGTGAATACACATTCTTAATAAAAATTAGAGAACCCKGGGCTTTCCTAAATTTCCAAACTAAAGTGATTCATGAGCTTGTGTGAAGGTCATCGGCTTTAACAAAGAGTACATAACACATCTGAGCAAAACAAATCTCATGCGTCCATCAAAGACACTAGCAATGATGTTCTGCTACTGCCATTAACTCCAGAGTTCTTTGGATCAGAGGGTAGTTAATAATTGAACTTATACTGATCCCTTTTCATGCTTTTAGACACAATAAAAAAGAAAAAAAAAGAGAGAATAAAGGGTAAATATCTATTTCTAAGTCCTTACAGCCTAGTTAGGAGATTAGAATAGCTCTATGGAATGAAACCATGGGATGTTTTCCAAAGATGTGAAACAGGAAGAAAAAAAAAACTATAAGAATTTGGAGGAAGACAACATGGATCAAAGAACAGTCCTAGAGATGAGCTTTGAGAARTAAATAGGGTTCAGATAAGAGGTGTGGTACTCTAGACATGGAATGGCAAGGATACTACCAAGTGGGTTTAACTTAACCTCTTGTTTGGATCAGAAGGTTCATGTTAAAAGGAAAACAACCCTTAACATGGATGYGCCTCTTAAATCTTAACAATATTGATGACAGGTGCAATGCTGTATATCAGGTTTCTAGAACTTACTCATCTTATTTAACTGAAACTGTGTGCCCCTTGAAATGCCTACCACTTGTTAATTTCCTGCATATGATCACTTGGAAAGACTCTCTTCCCTTCATTCCTTCTTTATCTTTAGACGTTGCTATAGTTTAGATCTGAAGTCCCTCCCAAGGCCCCTGATTGAAGGCCCATGGCACTACCTGGGGGCATGGAACCTCTAAGAGGTGGGGCCTAGTGGGAGGAAGTTAGATCATTGCGGTCGAATCCTTCAAAAAGATATTGGGACCCTAGTACCTTCCTGTGTCTTCCTGGAGGTGAGCGGTTCCTTGGCCACATGCTCCCACAGTGAAGAGGTCCATTGCCACAGACCCCAAAGCAACTGGCCAAACMATCATAACCTTAATCYRCCAAAACCAWGAGCCAMAATAAGTCYTCTTTTTAAGTTGATTATCTCAGGTCTTTTGTTACAGCAATGAAAAGCTGACCAATACAGACAGACAGTACAACCTAGGTCAGGGGTTTGGGGATGCTGTGCATAAACTGGTACCTTTAGAGGAAGCGGAAAGTGCACCTAGATTACCTCGTAGCCTAGCACTCGTCCTGTGTTCCTGTTCCAGGCAATAGCGTGCCAYGACACCTCCACTTCAGAAGCAGAGAAACTCTGGACGGAAGTTCCCTTTGGGGCCAGCTGAGGTTCTACCATCCAGACAAAGACAGAGGCATCTGTTAGCAGAGAGGGACCTTCCAGAAAACCAAGGCCACATGCACATCASTTCTCAAGYGGAGCCAACCCAGAACGAAGGACAACTCACCGTCTTCCCCRGAGTAGACGATGGACACGGGGCTCAGGGAGCCCTCTCCTTCGTTATTRTAGACCCCGACTTTGACTTCAAAGGGAGACAGGGGCGTGATGCTGTCGTTGCGGTAGATGAACCTGGAGGATTCCACAAAGGCGACTCTCTCCCTGGTCCAGGTGGTCGAGCCCACGGGCCGGAACATGACGATGTATCCAAACCCTTCTCCGTTCTGCAGTTCTTCTGGAATGGACTTGGTCAGAATGTGGTCAGTCAACTCAGCACGGGCCAAAGTATGGTAATGAGCTCTTACAATATTTAGTGGTTATTCTGCATTTCTTTTATAGAAACTATCATAGGTATTGGCCCTGTTTAGTGACATACTGAAAAAAATACTCTTACTTGGAATGCCAATAGGAAAATGATCCCAAAGAAAGGTATTCAGAGCAATAGTTGAAACTTAATAAAAATAAAAAAACCCAAATCCTATAYATTTATATCCAGTTCCTTCATCATTCACCAATGACGATCCTATGTGGTCTAAAAGATAACATGGTTTCGAGATTGAAAACTAAAACACGATTCTAAACTCAGCACAGAATTCACTTAGTAACTGTTTAAAACTCTGTATGTTTTCACTTCACAAGAAAATCTTRTAAGAGGTGGGTGATGAAATTATGTGACGATAACATACCCTTTAAGACAGAACGTTTTCTCACAAGAAAGCCTAAAGGATCTCCTTGTATCTTCAAAAATATCTTCATTTGTAGTGAACCACTGTGTGTTTTTCCTGACATAAGCAAATATGTGACAATCTCCACAGAGAGATCAAATTCTATGAAATACATCCCCAAACCTGAAATCATTCAAATCGAAAAATATGTATAAGTACCCATTTCCCCAGAACTCTGTAAATAAGAAAAAAAATGATAAGTCATCACATAGAACGAAGCAAAGGAAAAATGAATTTGGGGCTTGATTCTGGACRAGTATCCACCTGGTTATAAGAAACTTGTATTTAAAAATCRATGACTTKGGGCTGGGGTTGTGGMTYGGTGGTGCTGTGCTTCCGTAGCGTGTGTGAGGCACTGGGTTCGATTCTCAGCACTGCATGTAAGTAAATAAAATAAAGGTCCATTGACAAGTAAAAAAAAAAAATGTTTAAAAAAAATCAATGACTTTGTTGTGTTTTTCCAAAGGAAAAGCTTTTATGATGCTTCCTTAATATTTTGGTAGACTAAAAATGCACACCTAACAGGGCATCATAACCTGAGTCCCTCAAGTTCCCAATGACATGTCTGAGACCCTCCTTATCCATTGGAGTTCATTTACTGTGTTGCAGTATCCTCCAGAGTTACACCACGTCTGATGACCCAGCTACCACACCAGAACAAAGGGACCATCTTTCTCAGAATCTATGAGTTGTTCTAGTGCAAAAATCTCTGTGCTCTAGACCAGGAGTGGTGATGGTGTATCCTGTATCCTGGTGTCTGAGGCAGAAGGATTACAAGTTTGAGGCCAGCCTCCACAACTTAGCAAGGTTCTAAGCAACTTAGCAAAACCCCATCTCTAAATAAATAAAATAAAATAAAATAAAAAAGGTCTAGGGATGTGTGTGGTTCCATGGTGAAGGGCTCTGGTTTCCATCTCTGGGATCCATTCCACCAAAAGAAAAAAGAAAAGAAATCTTTGGGCATGATAGTAACCAACAGACACAACTTCTGTCACCTAGAGAGTTTGCATCTGAAGTAGGAGGACTGGGTGGTGGTGGGCAATCACAGGGCAGGCAATAAGCAGAAGGTGGTCAGTAGCAAGGGCACTGGGGCACCTAGAAGCTAAGTAAAAGAAGCTCTCAATTAGACACAGAGGAGAGAGGACTGAACTAGTAGCCAGGTTTAAAATTGGAAGCAGTGGAGTTGGGAAGAACTGAGGCCCGGGTGAGGATTACTAAAGCCAGGGGTTGTTCACAAGAACAGGTGGTTCTGGAYGGGACTCCTGGGCCCAGAACAGAGATGAGCAAAGTTGCACCTCTGAGTTTGACCTGGCTGCTAGGTTGTTCCAACATTCCCCTGTCCTTGTTACTTTCCATGTAGCTTTACACTAAATCCCCATTAACCAGGATGACCTGAGCKATTCTCTGTTTCCTGCCATGCACAACAGTCTTAGAGATACAGAAAGTGAACAGAACAGGGAAGATACAGCTTCAGAAATCCAACAAGGATGCTGGGTCCTTCTATCAGTGTGTCTCTTCTTTTTGACAAGGAGACCAGCATTAAAGCAGTTGGTGAAACTAGGCACACGCCTGTCATCCCAATGGCTCAGGAGGCTGAGGCTGGAGGATCRCGAGTTCAAAGCCAGCCTCAGCAGAAGCAAGGCACTAAGCAACTCAGTGAGACCCTGTCTCTCAATAAAATGCAGAATAGGGCTGGGGAGGTGGCTCAGTGGTCAAGTGCTCTTGAGTTCAATCCCCAGTACCCCCTACCACCACCACAAAAACAAAACAAAACAAAACAAAAAAAACCTCAAATAGTTGGTGACAGGAAGAGATKGGTGAGAATTTTAGAAACTTGCTGGAATATTAGACTTGTCGGGGATGCTTCTCTGAGCTCAGATGTCTTCAGAATGCTGAGTCAGAATTCACGGAGATCTGCATGTGTCAATGGAGTACAAGGACTTTCTCATGGGGTTCCCTTAAGAAAGGTCTAAGACCTGCAGGTTCAGTTGAAGGGGAACCAAAGAGACTTCTTTTAAGTTTCGTTTCTTTTCTTTTCCTTTCTTTCTTTCTTTCTTTCTTTCTTTCTTTCTTTCTTTCTTTCTTTCTTTCTTTCTTTCTATATGGACAGAGAGTCAGAGGGTGAAGAAATCTGCCTAGCTGTTTCAAGAGAGCAAAAACGAGTGTTTCCTCCTTTAAACAGAGAAAGGGGTCAGTAGAATGAAAGAAAATGCAGAATTTCTAGAGGGAGTGAAATCCATTGCAGATAGATAAAGACTAATAATTTAGTTTGCAAGCACAGCATCCTAAGAACTCAATCTACAGTTAGAAGCCAAGGCTTGGTAAACTCCACAGCCTTCTAGCCAAATCTGGTGCTCAGCCTGCTTCTGAAAATTCAGGTTTCAGGAACACAGCCCACCCATGTTCATTTATATGTGGCCTGTGGCTGCTGCTGAGCTACAACAGCCCAGCAAAAAAGCTAAAGAAGGATCCTGTGGCCCACAGACTGACTAATTTCACTCTCTGACCCTTTACATAAGAAAAAGYGTCCACTCTCCTTATGAATGTCCACCTCCTATTTTATCCTACAGAGTTAATCTATGCTCATGTTTTCTAGGTCACGTTCACCACGAGCCCCTCCAACTTAGAAGTGTTTGGGAGCATACAACATGAACACGTGCTAATGTCCATTTTGCCTTTATTTGCTTTTTGATCTGTGTCCAGCAACCAGACACGATATCCAACTTGTGGAATATAGCAATTGCTGACTCCTCAGAAAGGAATAACATGCACAGAATTCKTGAGCGCCCCACCCCACGTATAGACTATAACGTAATTAGCTATYGACCTTAAGGAATTTCCGACTACCAGGGAGAAAAATGCCCAAGTAACTTCTGAAATGGAGAGAGATCTGCAAAGCTTACTGGTGGCAGAGGGAGAGAGCGAAGCTTCGGCACGCACAGACCTTCCACCCGACGTGGAGCAACTGTGCTTGCTCTCAAGTGTATACTTGGAACCCTCAAAGGGGGATTGTCCATGAGCAGTCTTGAAAGGGACTCTATCCCTAAAGATCACCTACAACATCAAGATTCTGGGCACAAACCACMGGAATCCAGAAACTAGGAAATGCTTCAGCAGCCATTTGGATCTGTACTAAGGAATGATGACTGGGGGTCCTCCGTGGGAGCTCTCCGAGGGAACAACGCCCCTCCCCAAACACAGTCACCGCCCACAGTGCCCTGAAAAACACGGTCATCTGGCCATTTTCTATGTTTTATATTTGCCACGGCCAAATTACAAAGGGATCAACCATTAGCACCTACCACCTAGCGCCTAGCGCCTAGCACCTAATCTACCCCATTCCTTTCCTCCCACTCCAACCCTCTAGAACCATGGAGAATCCAGGGATAGCACAGTGAATGAGCGCTATGGCTTAGATATGAAGTGTCCCAGGAAAGCTCTTGTGTGAGACAATGCAAGAGAGCTCAGTGGTGAAAYGATTGGGTTATGAGAGCTGGATTAATCCAATGATATGAAATGGTAACTAGTCAGCTGGGGTGTGGCTGGAGGAGGTAGGTCCCTGGGGGCATGCCTTCAGGGTTTATATTTTGYCCTCGGTGAGCTGAGCTCTTCCTGCTTCTTGGTTGCCATGTCCTGAGCAGCTTTCCTTGGCCTCCACCTTCCGCCATGTTGTCCTGCCTCACCTGGGCCCCGGGCAATGGAGCCAACTGTCTCTAAACCGAGATTTCTGAAACCCACGAGCCCCACATCAGCCTTTTCTTTTCTCCTTGTTTGGGGCCAAGACAGTCCTGAGACACTGGAAATGAGAGACTGGCAGAAAGTCTAAAGATAAAAGGCCAGAACCAAATTTGCCATGCGTACAAGCCAAGTCAATATGATGTTAAACACAGTGAGCAGAAAGGGTATTCCGTGGGCCTAAATATTCATCTGGATGCTGGAAAGAACAAGTCCACAGGATATAAAAAGCAATGTTAGAGCAACAACCATCCTCGGCGGGTAGGCTAATGGGTTCACCTCCCTCACATTAGAATAGTTATAATAATAATAATAATAATTAATAATAATTCTAATAATAATCCAGCTCAACCAGAACTGGTCCTAAAGAAAAGGCTACCAACCAATGCTCCCTAGATATTGAAGTTGTTTTTCTTATACTGGGGAAGAAAACTGTGCTGAGTTACTCATCCTCTCATCCTTTGGGATGAGTTAGAATTTCCTAATACCACCCCTAAGTCATTCATCATCAGAAGGGTGTATTTTTAATCCCATGTATTTTCATATATTCGCAAGAGTGATCCAATAAATCTTTTTTTGTGTTTTTTTTTTTTTTTTTTTTGTTCCTTCAGTGTTCTTCCTGGCTGGCTAAATCTTTTTTCCTTCAAAATAACTTAGTTGGACATAAAATTACCTCCCACGTAATGACGAGTTCGGATCGGCTTCCTCCACCTCCGCTAACGCTTACCGGGGCCACCGCAGGCACTGAAAGCAATCAAGAGAAATGGTTGGGGTGGGGGTGGGGGTGGGGGTGGGGGTGGTGGCAATTATTAAAGCACATCTTCATCAGGAAGAGAATTTCGTTTCTGGGTTTCACCTTTCAAAAATCCCACCCAGGCACCCTGGGAGAGAGAGAGAGTCTTGCATTTTTAATGAACATAAATTATGTTTACACAGATCCAAAATTTCTAAGAGGAGAGAGGACACAGTTGTGTTTGATGCATGAGCACCCCGGCTCCAAAATTAATTAAAAATCGAGTAACGTCGTGCGTTTGACATTATTATGCATCATCTACTAATTGGCGAAATGATGTTCCATTCAGATGGTATCAGGGAGACCGCTGATTTAGTACCTAATTATATAGTTGGGCTGTAAACAAGTTACCKTGGCGGTATATTAATTAATTATTTTTGTCAATAAACAAACTAAAAAAAAAAAATTTTTTTTTTTCTCCTTATTTGCCATCAGGGTATCTTAACATTTAAAAATGAAATTCTTAAAGAAATCTGTAAATGAATGAGTTTTTATTTTATCACCTTGTGTTTGAATCTCACAACTCTCAGGAAAGAATAAGAGGGGTTTCTCCCTCTCAGAGTTTTCTCATGTAAAGAAGGTGACTGTGAGGAGCATCCTTGTATCCCCCGTGGAATATTCAGAAACCAATGATTCTGATGAATCACACAAAACAGTGCCCTTCAGCTACACCATGCTGAGTACGAGTGTGATAAATAAAGTTTCCAGGCAAATTGCAAAATTGACCATTGCTATTGTGTCATGTATAATGTGGTGCATGATCCGGTGAGGCTGGTGTAGGTGTGGAACTGTTAAAAAAAAAAAAAAAAAAAAAAGCACTATTTTTCTTGTGAAAAGGACAAAGGTATCCTGTAGCTTGGATAGTGGTAATGCTGCTGAGTATGCTTTCAGGTCTGCTAGTTATGTGGTGCGTGAACCATGTGAAATTACGTCTGGCCATTGTGACCGATATTGCAAGGTGTGGTTAGAAGCCATCTGGGTAGGGCTGGGGACCAAACGGCTTGCTGGGGTTAAAACGGGCCAGGCTTCTCTGCTCACTGCGACTTTTACCCACCGTGCACAGACCATTTCAGGAAATCTAGTATTTAATTTCCTTGCATTTCATACACATGCTTATCTCTGTCCGCAACACAGCCAGAGGATAATCTGTTCTTTTACAAAACAGCATCTGCCCAACACRCATTTTCCTCTTCAAATTTACCCTTGATTTTTTTTGTTTCCTTCTAATTTTATGAAGATGTTCACTAGAACCTACAGATGTTTTTCTCTAATATGCAGAAAGTAGGGATTAATAAAAAAGGAATGAAATAAGGGATCTTCCTTAAAATAGAAGGAGATCAGTATAATTAAAGGGGGGAACATGGAGGAGGGAGGAGGAGAGGAAATGGGAAGGAAGTTGGCCCAAGGATGCTATGTGCATGCAGAAATAGATCATGATTTGTTCCAATTTTATATATGACTATAATATACCCATTAAAAATAAATCAATAGAGTAGAAGGAAGATCAATAGAGTAGAAGAAGGGACCAGGAGGAGGGCCAAAAGGAGAGAACAGGAAAGTACTGGGGATTGAATTGGAACAAACTATGTTAATAGGCATTTACGGATGGATCAAAATGAGCCCCGCTATTCTGTACAACTATAATGCACTAACAAAAATATTAGGAAAAAAAAAAAAAAAAACAAAATCATTTGAACCTAGACCTATTTTCTAAATCTTTTTAATACCTTTGGTCAAAATTTCCATGAGTCAGGATAGATTCTACCCGGTCACTGGGTTTGACAGTGCTTGGCAGGTTACAGGGACATTATTTCAAGGCCTTTGCCTCATTGAGCTGTGTATATAGCAAATTGTTGGAAAAGAGACTTGGGGTTCGCTCTCTCTAAAGTGTCCAGTTTTCTGTGAAACATAAAGTTCCATTCTTTATTTARTTTTTTTCAAATTAACTATAATAAGGCTGAAGATCATATTGAGAAGAAATTGGGTGTGTGAGGATGGGGGAGAGGGGAGGGTAGGAGAGAGGAAGGGGAACTTCAGCAAGATCCGAAAACTTGGGGGAATCAGGATGATCGCACGGCTCACTGTGAAGGACAGCGTTCATGGTCAGTACAAGGTGGTACCCAAATTGTACTCTAGAAACTCCACAGTTTGTGTCAACCTTGCCAAAGCTACCCAAATAATAATAATAATAATAATAATAATAATAATAATCAGCTGTAAACAACCAACCAGAACCCAAAGCTAATATCCAGAGTCTTGAGTCCACACCTAGAGATTCTGATGTCAGGCTTGGAAATTTCTTGGTTTACACCCTTTCTCTGGCTAACCTCTTGCTCGTCTAAGTCCAGGCTCACTGTTATTTGGAGAATGCTGTGTTCACAGCTGTTCCTTCTAATCCAAACTCTGTCCAAACAACCAGCTAACATCCTGGTCCTCATCTTCCTCTCCTGTGAAAAAAAAAAAAGGAACTTCTTCTCAGCCCTACACCTGTTGCATGATTTCATCGGATGTTACTGCTGCAGATTATATCTTTTTCTAGAGCCAATCCTCTGATGGAAATATGACATGATGCCCGGGAAGGCAGCTCAGTTGGTGGAGTACTTGCCTAGCATGTGTGAAGTGCTTGGTTTGATCCCTAGTCTCTCTCTCTCACACACACACACACACACACACACACACACACACACACTACCTGCAGTTTAGAAATTGAATTATAACTGTGCATGTCTTTTGAAATTAGCTCATGCTAGTTCAACCAAGCCAGCCACAGCAACGTGACCTTTTTTTTTTTTTTTTTTTGCAGGACTGGACAAGAACATCGACTTTACGAGCTACCAGAACAAGTTGATAAGCCGTCATCCTGGATGCAGAAGTTTGAGCCTAACAAAGAGGATCTATTGAGAAAAGCTCAAGAAGACTGATTCCGAGGCCAGTTCCACCTATGTTCTGCTGTTCAGTGAACCAGYTGGTGCTTAATTAGAGCTTCCGTTAAATCAATTGAGGGTTTACCTCATTTGCATGAGCAGGAATGCGTGCTCTTGTCCAAGGTCCCTGTAAGTAGGTCAGAGTTGAGAAACAGATGAAAATGTATGGCTACCTGCACCAGAGACTGGAGGAATTCTTGGCTACCACATCTCAACGAAACAAGCAGTCACCTGTTGGCATTTACCAACCTGCAGACTCTCTATTAGATTTTTGCTAGAAAATGGATAAGACACACAGATRGCTTCTGAGATGCTCTTATTCTGATAGTCTTGCTAAGGGGTCACCATCTTTAATTCGACCCACTGTTCTAGGAAGTACACCTTGCCTGGTACAGATAAAAATGTAAAAATGAGCATCCCTCGCTCACCGCCACGTCCTACGAGACCCATAAAAATACTTCTTAATTTCTTTTTTTTTTTCTATTTCTGCACTTTTCARAGACATTGATTCCTTACCTGACGCCTTGGTTCTCAACAATTCCGATGGCTTACTCGGCTCTCCGATGCCAATGCTATTCCCTGCGACAACCCGGAATTCATACTCCACCCAGGGACTCAAACCGACCACCGTGGCATTGTGTGTCTGACCATTGAGAATTTCAGGGACTAAAAGGAAAAGGGACACTTAACAGCCACGGATTGGCACTAGCCAAAAACCAACGATCATGTGAAATGATTATTAAATTTAAAAACTGTAAAATTACATTGGTTTACGTTAATAAATTTAAAAGTATTTTTTTTTTTTTTTTGGTGGTGGTGGTTAGAATATAAAAGCACCTGTGTCACTTACCTGTAGCAACAGCTTGCCAACCCACAGAAAAAGGTGTCCGAGTCTGAATTGTAAATATTTGAATGGGACTGTTGTTATCCGGGCCTGGGGTCCACTTTAGCTGGGAGGTGGTACTAGAAATGTGTTCTACTCTCACATCCTCCGGGGGACCTGGAGGACCTTGAGAAAGATATTTTATGATGACTGTATTAGCAAATCATTTTTAAAATATTTTTTTTAGATGTTGATGGACCTTTATTTGATTCATTTATTTATATGTATGCAGTACTGAGAATCGAACCCAGTGCCTCACCCATGCCAGGCTAGTGTTCTACCATGGAGCCACCACGCCATCCCTGCAYTGGAGATTTTTAAATGCACTGATTGACAAGGACGGTCTATTCCTACAMAGTAAAGCATCCTTGTGGAAATGTTCCCTCCAGAGATTAGAAAATTGCTAGACACCGGAGGGGGGAGGGGGATAGTATAGCAAGTCAAAACTGAGAAGCGCCTCTTTTAAGTTCTTCTCTCAAAGATGAATGCAAGGAAAAGCAGGTAGAGAGGAGAACTGCAGATGCAGGTGGACTTTTCTCCGACAAGAATGGTTTCTTAATATGCAAAGTCTAAGATGATGGCACTAGCAACGCTGGTCGAGCCTGATCATTTATCATAAACAGACAAAAGCCGATCACATGCATGCTCACCCCGAACGATGACATCGGCCACAGCCGACAGACGTTCCAGAGTCGTCTGCACCGTGCAGACATATTTTCCCGAGTGGCTCARCTGAATATTCCGTATCATCAGATCCCCGACGGATTCCTGGTGGTAGAAAGAGAGAGAGAAAAAAAAAAAAATGAATAAAGGCATCGTCATGCCCAGCAGGTCTTGTTATTTTGCAGAGCTGGATAAATATTGAATATGAGGCTGCTCTGAAATCGGAAGACATTAGGATCACTGTCCTTTCTATCTTTGATGCCTTTGACGACCCCTTTATTATAACTGCATCTAGGAACCAAGTAGTTCTACGACGAGACCCATAAAACAAAACACAACAAAACCCAAAAACAGAGGCGGCTTCACGAACAGTGATTATCCGCACAGATAATACGGGGAGAATGATCATGGGTGACGGTGACTCACGGGAGGGTCTTGATTCCTGTCATTAAGCTCTCAGCCAGGGCACCTACTTACTCCTCCGATCCTTTCAAAGTGAGTCACTCCCTTCTTTAAGTCGATGACATCGCCGTTGAAAGACCACAGGAACACCACGTCCATGGAGGGGTCGTGGGACACCTGGCAGGGGAGGACGATACTCTCGCCCACGGTGACATCCATTGTGGAAGGGGGGACCGTAATGACAGTCCTCTCTATTGAGAGAAGAAGAATTAAGAAAAGCCAATAAAAAAACCAACCTCTGGGTAAGATATATACATARATATGTGTGCAGGTATATRTATGATTTTWAAAAAATATATTTTAAAATATTTATGTTTTTAGAAGCAGTTGGACACAATACCTTTGTTTTATTTTTATGTGGTGCTGAGGATCGAACTCAGGGCCTCGCATGTGCTAGACCAGCGCTCTACCGCTGAGCCACAATCCCAGCCCCTATATACRATTTTTTAAAAAAGATTTATTTTATATTTTTTTTTTGGTACCAAGTATTGAACCCAGGGTTGCTTAGCCCCTGAACCACATTCCTAACCTCTCCTTATTTTTAGTTTTGAGACAGGGCCTTCCTAAGTTGCTGAGGCTGGCTTTGAACTTGCAATCCTTCTGCCTCAGCCTCCCGAGATGCTGGGACTACAGGCATGTCCCATTGAGCCTGGCTAGATATAGTTTTGAATCGTTATGCAATCATTTAAAGTCACCCGAAGCTCAACCACATTCAGTGTTGTTTTTTTTTTTTCAAATATTCTGTATTTATACAGCTTATGACTTATAATGAAAGGTGTCATTTTATTCATACCTCATATGAAAACACTTTACAGAAAACTATAGACCTCCAAAGCCAGGGTTCCATAGGTAGAGAACCATGCTCTTTTTAATTTTTAGTCTAAAATTTCAGTCACAATCTTGCAATTTACACAGTGGTTATAACCCTAAAGAGTCTCTGCTAACTTCAGACCCCATCAGACCCACTGTGTCCCTAAGGTTATAACCACCATAGTTCACGTAGAGTGTGATAATCATATGCTTTTATTTAAAAGTATGAAAGCAACATTATTTTTTCTACTTCTGACATACTTCTGATCATAATTTCCTATTTAAACTAAACATGAAAAAAAACACCCACATTTTCCTTCTTTAATCCGGAATTTGCAATAAGAGAATTTTGCTTCCATCATAAAAACCTTCCCACTGGAGACGACAGTCTCAATGTCAACCCCTTGTCACAGGCAACAGCATTTCACTGACTGATATTTCCAAGGACAATTCCGAAAGTGTTCTGGTTGTACACAAGAGTCCTGTATTTTTTTGTTTGTTTGTTTTGTTTTTGATTAAAAGAAACTCACAATGAAATAAGCCGATCCCACAGAACCAGAGGTCAAAGGTACTCCCTGTATGTGGATAGTGACTCACACTAAGGGAGGGAAATAGAAGTTCATTGGATTAAAGGGATGGGAATAGGAAAGACAGTAGAACGAAGCGGACATCACCTTCCTATGTTCAGATATGAATGTACGACCAGTGTGATGCCACATCATGCACCACCACATGCATGTATCATATGTCAAAATACAGTATACTGTTAAGTATATGTAAAAAGAACAAATAGATTTTTTTTAAAAAAAAAAGAAACTCACAATGATAATGGTTATGGTTTGGATAGGAGGTGTCCCTTCAAAGCTCATGTGGGAAACAATGTAAGAACATTTCAGGGGTGAGATCGTTACATTAGGAGAGATATAATAATTGATGGTTGAATCCACTGATGTGAATTAACTAGGTGGTACCTGTCGGCAGGTAGGGTGTGGCTAGAGGATGTGTGTCACTGAGGTTGTGCCTTTGGGGTTTATGTCTTGTCCCTGAGGAACAGAGCTCTCTCTCCTTCTGGTTGACATGTCCTAAGCTAGTCTCCTCCGCCATGATGTTCTGCTTCACCTTGGACCCAAAGCTACAAAGAGCCAACCAAATCTCCAGAAGTGTAAGAAATCGGCTTCCTTTCTCTATGAAACACTCTTTCGTCAGAGCAACAGCCAACAAAGACAGGGTGTCRATGTATTTTACAATAGAGGGTTGCATTAGTATTCAAATGTTTAAGAATTTCCGAAGCGTTCTTCGTCAAGMCTTAGAAGTGGAAAGTAGAATGTCGTAATCTAGGGTTTTAAGGGACGTGTTGATAAAAGAGTYGTGGGAAAGAGAAGCGTGCATTCTACTTCAGATCATAAGGAAGAAAATTCCTCATTTGCATTCAATCTGTCTTCAAGTTTTAATTTTCAAGAAATATTTTTCTTCTTTTACTAGATTCATGCACTTTTTTTTTCTTCTAGTCTTCTGTGGGGAGGGATTTCAAGAACAGTTTTATGTACCATGTTCATTGTCAATTCCAATCCTCCTCCACATCTCTCCCACCAAATAAGAGTAAATGATATCTAATATTTTAAGAAAATCTTATAGRACTAGGGAAAACTTTTTCCTTTTGTAGTGCCTTAAAAAATAACTAATATCTTATTTATGCGTGTAGGAGAATAATTGGCCTCATTGAATGTGATTAAACATTGGAGATGGTACAATAATGTCATTTTTGAAACATTAAAAATGAAAGCCACTCCTCCCATCTATGACACCCACACCCACACAGTGAAAACTTTAGACAAATTATGTCTTAAAAACAAAGCTTGTTGGTAGTACAATAAATAGTAATGAAATAATGACTAAAAATTCAAGAATAAGATACAGTGGCATTAGAATTTGATAAGATGGTCTTGCTTGATTTTTCTGAAAATTCATGTTTAGAACATCAAAATTTCAATTTTCAGCAACTACCTTTTCCATGGATAAAAATGGGAAGTGACATTAGTGACTCTTGGCAAAGGCAAGGTCATAAATACTTTTKGTTAAGTTTTCATTTTGCAAAGGATCTTTCTGCCAGTTGTCTTTTTGAAACCATTGAGAGTTTTCTTTAGACTGCAGTATTAGTCTAAATTCTTTTTTTTTTTTTTTTTTTGGTACTGGAGATGGAGCCCAGTGGTGCTTAAGCACTGAGCCACATCTCCAGATCTTTTGTTTTTTTTATTCTGAGGCAGGGTCTTTTCAAGTTGCTGAGGGCCTCTCTAACTTGCTGAGGCTGTCCTTGAACTTCWCATCCTCCTACCTCTGCCTCCKGAGCTGCTGGGATGACAGGCATGTGCCACCACATTCAGCTGTTAATATAAGTTTCTGAAAAAAAAAATCACTTTGAAGTATAAATTTTAGAACATCTAGAGCTGATTGTTCTCATGGAACAAATATTTTTGGTGGGTACAAGAGATTGAACCCATGGGGCACTTAACCACTAAGCCACATCTTCAACTTTATTTTCTATTTTGAGACAGGATCTCCTTAAATGACTTAGGGACTAAGTTGCTGAGGCTGGCCTCAAATCTACAATTCTCCTTCCTCAGCCTCTCAAGTCACTCGGATTACAGATGTGCACCACCATACCTGGCTTGGAATCAATTTTCTAAAAAAGATTGAACCCTATTTCTTTCACTATAAAATCTATTTTGTGTAAGACTGAATTGAATTGTTAATGGACACGTATATATATATAAAAAAAAAAACCTTATTTTTTTTGTATGGCGTTTGCTGTAACTTTGGAGGCGTTTGTTTGAGAAGCCATAAGTGAACTTCATGATCTGGCTCTAACTCACWTGGTCAGTGATTCATTCCACTGCGGTATCTTCAATTATAACGAAAAACTCATTAATAACTGGCTCCCCTGGAGCTTCATATAAAAATAGGGTTTTGTCCTTAAATGGAATCATCTTCAAATTAAATTTTTTATTCCTAACCCCGTGAATATTAGCTTTGCAATGTTGCAGAAATGTTCTAAACCCTAGATTTTAAATTCTTTAAAGAATCTGAGTCACGCTGGGATATGCTTTCTGGTAGTGTCCATATTCAAGTAGGGGAAAAAAATAGTCTGTGATAATTTACTAACAAAGCCTACTGCTTGACCCCAGGAGTCACTGTCCTGGTTCTCAGGCTGAGAGTTAGCATTTCTGTGAATGCCACAGGGCTAGCTCTGGCATAGGCAAGCTGGCCTCCTCCCACCCTGGACCCTGGGGCTGACTGACTGAGTCCCTCCTTACCCTGCAGGCTTTGCTGATATCCACTCCAGTTCTTGATGCCCATATCACCTCCACCCTTATGGGCTCAGGACCTGATGTGCTCACGCCCGGCAGGYTGTAGCACCCAGATAGCAGCTATGCACACATGCACACACCTGCACAGGGCACCCACGGSTTGCATGAATGCTACCTGTGGGTCCTCAGGCCTGCCTGGGCTGGGGTGTGCGTGGGTTGCTGCTATCCAATTGTAACCACTTCCTCACAGAGCCATCAGTGCATACGTGTGTTCCCCCGTCTTACTAAACTACATAAAAAACAGGCTCAGAGACAAAATAACTAAGAATGTCAAAGCCATAACAGCAGAACTTTAAAATAAGCATGGGGGCATTCCTGAGCAAGGGTCCCTGTAAGAGTGAGTTACCTGTCCATCAACCTGAATGCCATGATAAGAAAGAGTCTCTTTCCAGGCAYGGTGGCTCAWKCCTGGAATCCCAGCAGCTCAGGAGGCTGAGGCAGGAGGATTGCAACTTCAAAACCAGCCTCAGCAACTAAGCAAGGCCCTAAGCAACTTAATGAGACCCTGTCTGTAAATAAAAATAAATAAAAAGGTCTGGGGATGTGGCTYAGTGTTGGAGCGCCCCTGGGTTCAATGCCTGGAATGAAAAAGAAATATTCTCTGACACAGAAGAAGAAAGCAGAGTAGAATATGTTTAAGCAAAGGTGGGTGGGCACGAGTAGGGGGAATGGGCAGACATTGCTCACAGAGTAAAAAGTTTCAGTTAGACAGGAGGAATAAGTTTCTGACATCTATGGCACAGCAGGGTGACAATAGTTAATAATAATGTGCTGTATATTTCCAAATCGCTCAATGAGTAGATTTTTTCCATGTTTTCATTACAAAAAGAATAATAAGCCTGCTATGTGATGGATATGTTAATTAGCTTTAATCATTCCACAACGAAAATGTGTGATCAAAATATCACATTGTGCTTTATGAATATATACAATTATTTGTCAATTAATTTTTTTTTTCAAAAAGATAGTGGAATCTATTTCCTGAAAGAGTAGCATGAGAAATAAGAAGCAAGCAG